GTTTTTTTTTTTAAAAGCGCAATTTAAGATGTTTGGATTTCGTGTGTTCGTACATGATTCGGGACAATTTGCGTTTTTGTATATTTTTTTTCCCCCCCCGTTCGTCGGCTTTCGGTGTAATAATTTCCGCGCGTAACTTCGCCGTTCGCGACAAACGTCGCCGCCCGGCGCCACGCGAACGCCGCTATTTTTTGCCAGAGCAAAAGCGGTGCACGCGAGTTGCTACGGAGTGACGTCATTTCCGGTGACGTCACAATTCGAATCCAACGTTAATTAACAAACAAACAAAAAATGTGATACCGCATCATGCGAGATTTCGTATCTTGGATCTTTTTTTCCCCGAACTTCGGGAACGCATCCCGAGCTTAAACAACATGTACCTAAATCAGCGCAAGCCTCCCATAAATCACATGAGACTTCCGTGTGTGTCCTCCCCCCCCCACCCTGAATCTCTCCCCAAAGACAAAGACCCCCCCCCCCCGCCCCCCCCCCCCCCCCCCCCCGTATAGCCTTTAACAGACTGTTGGGGCTAGCGAGTCGCACCTACGAGGGCCGACGAGGCGCACGAGAGGGCTGCGTGGACACAGCCCCCGCGCACGCCCCGGCCGCCTTTTGTCTCCCCGGTGGCGATGTTTTACTCACCGCCACCGGCTACTCGTTCGAGGCCCGAGCCGAATCTCATCCCCCCCCTCTCCCGCTGCCGCCGACAGCTCTTGGCCTGCCACCGTGTTTTAACGCGTGATGGCCACCCAACCCAGTCACTCTGCGGGCACACACACCCCGCTCTCGGCCCGCGGGACGTGACGACACCGCGTTGTATGTGTACGTCTGCTGAACTTCTTTGCCACCGCGTGAAGCCAATCGCGCGAATCGGGACGCGTGTACTCTTTGGTTCTGTTCGGTAAAGTCGCGTTGGTTAAAAATAAAGGGACAAAAAATCACGACGTTTCGGCCACGGCGGAAGCGGCCTTCATCAGGTGAAGGGAGCAGGCTGATGAAGGCCGCTTGTGTTGTGGCCCGGAACGTCGTGATTTTTTTTGTTGTTTTATTTTTTACCCACGTGACTTTGCCGAATAGAACCAAAGAGTATGGATTCCTTGCAGTCACGAAAGCTTCAAATCTAGAATCGGTTGTGGTTTGCTCTGGGGCAGTTTTGTCTGTGCTTAAACAGTTGCCAACAATGGCTATGCTTTTCACCGGCACTCAAAAAGGCATTGGTGTTATTGGCTTTTCCCATAGTGTAGCTGTTGCCAGTTGTGTACGTGTGTGTGTGTGATAAACAATTCAAACAGCAGAAGTTTGTTGTTCATATGTTTTGCTCTTTTCAGGATTTATTTTGATACGCAGAGGCTACCAGCGGGATGGATGGGGGGGGGCACCGTGGTTGCGAGATGTTAACTACCTCGCCCGGTATGCAGGAGATCGTGGGTTCCCTGATGCCTGCTGTGCATCTGGAGTTTGCGTGTCTCTCTCCCCGTGGTCGCGTGGATTTTTCTCACGGCTCCGATTTTCCCCTCCACGTTTAGAATCAACGTCGCCGTGCCTCCAGAGTATTTGGCTGCTATAACATTTCCACGTGATGAGCCCACTTCGTTTGAGCTGTCATCTGTGGCCAGGTCGCTTCTGAAAAAAACAGCTTTACAGCTCAGTGTGCCTTACCTGTTAAAATAAAAAAAATTGTTTTAATATGATGCTGCTGCAGTGTAACTAAACTAAACTATGTTTGCTTGATATTCTTGGTTCTTTCGGTAAAGTCACTTAGAAGGGAAACAATAAAATAATAAAAATATAAAACAATAAAATTCTCACGACGTTTCGACTGCAACACAAGCAATCATCATCACGTGACTTTATCTAAAGAACCAAGAATATGAATCCCTGTACACGTGCGTGCGTGTTTGTGTGTGAAAACCACACCTGATGATGATTGCTTATGTTGCAGTCGAAACGTCGTGAGAATTTTATTGTTTTATATTTTTATTATTTTATTGTTTCCCTTCTACATGGTGACTTTACCGAAAGAACCAAGAATATGAATCCCTGCAGTCACGAAAGGTTTACATCAAAATTTGTGTTTGCTTTGATATACAGGAGAGTGGAAAGAATGTGTCGTATAATCCACTGCTCTCTCAGGGATCGGGATCGAACCCACGGCCTCCTGTATACCAGGCGAGGTAGTTAACATCTCATAGCCACCGTGATGATGAGAGAGAGACACGCAAACTCCAAATAGATCAGGTGTCAGGGTCGTGATCGAACCCACGACCTCCTGCACACCAGGCGAGGTAGTTGACATCTCCTAGCCACTGTGACGTCAAGGTTGGAATCATGGAACCCACGACCTCCTGTATACCAGGCGAGGTAGTTGACATCTAGCCACTGTGACGTCAAGGTCGGGATCATGGAACCCACGACCTCCTGTATACCAGGCGAGGTAGTTGACATCTCCTAGCCACTGTGACGTCAAGGTCGGGATCATGGAACCCACGACCTCCTGTATACCAGGCGAGGTAGTTGACATCCCCTAGCCACTGTGACGTCAAGGTCGGGATCATGGAACCCACGACCTCCTGTATACCGGGCGAGGTAGTTGACATCTCCTAGCCACTGTGACGTCAAGGTCGGGATCATGGAACCCACGACCTCCTGTATACCAGGCGAGGTAGTTGACATCTGCTAGCCACTGTGACGTCAAGGTCGGGATCATGGAACCCACGACCTCCTGTATACCAGGCGAGGTAGTTGACATCCCATAGCCACTGTGACATCAAGGTCGGGATCATGGAACCCACGACCTCCTGTATACCGGGCGAGGTAGTTGACATCTAGCCACTGTGACGTCAAGGTCGGGATCATGGAACCCACGACCTCCTGTATACCAGGCGAGGTAGTTGACATCTCCTACCCACTGTGACGTCAAGGTCGGGATCATGGAACCCACGACCTCCTGTATACCAGGCGAGGTAGTTGACATCTGCTAGCCACTGTGACGTCAAGGTCGGGAGCATGGAACCCACGACCTCCTGTATACCGGGCGAGGTAGTTGACATCTCCTAGCCACTGTGACGTCAAGGTCGGGATCATGGAACCCACGACCTCCTGTATACCGGGCGAGGTAGTTGACATCTCCTAGCCACTGTGACGTCAAGGTCGGGATCATGGAACCCACGACCTCCTGTATACCGGGCGAGGTAGTTGACATCTCCTAGCCACTGTGATGTCAAGGTCGGGATCATGGAACCCACGACCTCCTGTATACCGGGCGAGGTAGTTGACATCTCCTAGCCACTGTGACGTCAAGGTCGGGATCATGGAACCCACGACCTCCTGTATACCGGGCGAGGTAGTTGACATCTCCTAGCCACTGTGACGTCAAGGTCGGGATCATGGAACCCACGACCTCCTGTATACCGGGCGAGGTAGTTGACATCTCCTAGCCACTGTGACGTCAAGGTCGGGATCATGGAACCCACGACCTCCTGTATACCGGGCGAGGTAGTTGACATCTCCTAGCCACTGTGACGTCAAGGTCGGGATCATGGAACCCACGACCTCCTGTATACCGGGCGAGGTAGTTGACATCTCCTAGCCACTGTGACGTCAAGGTCGGGATCATGGAACCCACGACCTACTGTATACCAGGCGAGGTAGTTGACATCTCCTAGCCACTGTGACGTCAAGGTCGGGATCATGGAACCCACGACCTCCTGTATACCGGGCGAGGTAGTTGACATCTCCTAGCCACTGTGACGTCAAGGTCGGGATCATGGAACCCACGACCTCCTGTATACCGGGCGAGGTAGTTGACATCTCCTAGCCACTGTGACGTCAAGGTCGGGATCATGGAACCCACGACCTCCTGTATACCAGGCGAGGTAGTTGACATCCCCTAGCCACTCTGACGTCAAGGTCGGGATCATGGAACCCACGACCTCCTGTATACCGGGCGAGGTAGTTGACATCTCCTAGCCACTGTGACGTCAAGGTCGGGATCATGGAACCCACGACCTCCTGTATACCAGGCGAGGTAGTTGACATCTCCTAGCCACTGTGACGTCAAGGTCGGGATCATGGAACCCACGACCTCCTGTATACCGGGCGAGGTAGTTGACATCTCCTAGTCTCTGTGACGTCAAGGTCGGGATCATGGAACCCACGACCTCCTGTATACCGGGCGAGGTAGTTGACATCTCCTAGCCACTGTGACGTCAAGGTCGGGATCATGGAACCCACGACCTCCTGTATACCGAGCGAGGTAGTTGACATCTCCTAGCCACTGTGACGTCAAGGTCGGGATCATGGAACCCACGACCTCCTGTATACCGAGCGAGGTAGTTGACATCTCCTAGCCACTGTGACGTCAAGGTCGGGATCATGGAACCCACGACATCCTGTATACCAGGCGAGGTAGTTGACATCTCCTAGCCACTGTGACGTCAAGGTCGGGATCATGGAACCCACGACCTCCTGTATACCAGGCGAGGTAGTTGACATCTCCTAGCCACTGTGACGTCAAGGTCGGGATCATGGAACCCACGACCTCCTGTATACCAGGCGAGGTAGTTGACATCTCCTAGCCACTGTGACGTCAAGGTCGGGATCATGGAACCCACGACCTCCTGTATACCGGGCGAGGTAGTTGACATCTCCTAGTCTCTGTGACGTCAAGGTCGGGATCATGGAACCCACGACCTCCTGTATACCGGGCGAGGTAGTTGACATCTCCTAGCCACTGTGACGTCAAGGTCGGGATCATGGAACCCACGACCTCCTGTATACCGAGCGAGGTAGTTGACATCTCCTAGCCACTGTGACGTCAAGGTCGGGATCATGGAACCCACGACCTCCTGTATACCGAGCGAGGTAGTTGACATCTCCTAGCCACTGTGACGTCAAGGTCGGGATCATGGAACCCACGACATCCTGTATACCAGGCGAGGTAGTTGACATCTCCTAGCCACTGTGACGTCAAGGTCGGGATCATGGAACCCACGACCTCCTGTATACCAGGCGAGGTAGTTGACATCTCCTAGCCACTGTGACGTCAAGGTCGGGATCATGGAACCCACGACCTCCTGTATACCGGGCGAGGTACTCGACTTGTCGCCCACACTGCGGAGTCGGCCAGCCGGTCCCGGTGCGTGTCGGCGTGGCGTTTTCCCAGCTGACTTTGCTTTCAACCCTGTTGAGAGGTTAAAGCTGGGTGGGTGGAAACGGGAGGGGAAAGAATGTCTGGTTCAAAGTACGAGCAGCTTTATTAAAACAGTCTGCTGTAAATAGTGTATTCGGTGTACGCGTGCGTGTGTGCGTGCGTGCGTGTGTGCGTGTGTGTGTGTGCGTGCGTGTGTGCGTGTGTGTGTGTGCGTGCGTGCCGCGGTTAACGGTTGCGTAGCGGTTGAGCGCTCTCGCGCTACGAACCCGGGGTGACCCGAGTTCGACTCCCGCTCACGGCCATCAACAACAGCGGCGAATTTCTTAAATGAGTACCTGGTGTGGTGTTGCTGACCGTGACGTCACGGCAGTGTCCCTGCACTGCTGGACGAAGGCCCACCCCCGATCTAGTGTCAGACAAGGTGGGGGAGGTGGGGGGGGGGGGGGGGCGGGGGGGGGAGTTTGACGAGACTTCAACGAGCTGGTCAGTACCGATGGGTGAAGGGGGTGAGAAGAAGGCCAGTCGTATCGCTCGCCGTTAACGTTAACCATGCCTGGGAATTGAACTTGGAACCGCCGGGCTTAAGTCCGGTGTGCCAGCCGCTAGCATTGCACCACGGCAGCATCAGCATTCTGAATATATATATACACCCGCGCGCGTGTACGTACTCATTTCGCATTGTGGAAACGCGATGACACGACTATTGTGTCGGCATAATGGCCAGGACGCCCAGCACCACCACGACCACGACCACGCGCCACCAGCCGCGTGTAGCCACACGGGGTCGGTTCCTGACGAGTAAAAACCCATTGGCATTTGGTGTCTGATCACTGAGTGGGTCCCTCCCTCCCTCCCATTCCCCTCCCTCCCTCCCATCTCTCCCTCCCTCCCTCCCATTCCCCTCCCTCCCTCCCTCCCCTCCCTCCCCTCCCCTCCCTCCCTCCCTCCCTCCCATTCCCCTCCCTCCCATTCCCCTCCCTCCCCCTGCCTAGGTTGCCTCTCAGCCTGGAAATTAATACCTCGTGCTCATGCGGTGATCGCTGTCAGCTGCACAGGGAAGACGAGCGACTCCTCTGTGTCCTGCTCGCGTGAGTTCACCATTTCCCGCTCCTCCGAGACGTGCGTAAGCCAAGTTGCTCCGGGCGGGGGGGTGGGGGCGGCGTAGTCGCAGCGCCGCTGTTTTTAAAGATGACGTTGCTCACCGCGGAGAACTGTGGCCACACGACCACGGCCACTAACGATAGCCGGCGCCCCCCAGCTGTGCCACAACGCCCTTTTCCGCGTGGCCTTGTGGCAGCCTCGGTACCGATGGGAAAGGGTTAATGGGCGCTCACTGAATTCACCCCCCCCCCCCCCAGGCTTGCAGGGGATTTTAAAGTTGAGTTGATTTCAGGTGGGGACCCTTGATTGAGAGATCAGAAGTTAATATTCCGCTGTAGTGATTTCATCATCGTCGTCATCGTCGTCGTCGTCATCAATACCACCACAATAATGATCAATACATCCACACTCATCTTCGTAATCAATACGATCATTATCAATTCCACCACTATCATCCGCTACTGTTGTCGTCATCTTCACCAATAGCCCCACTATCATCACCATGATCGTCAAATACCACAATCATCGTCACCATACATACTGCTTCTGTCATCATCAATACCCCCACTATCATCGTCATCATCAGTACCACTACTACCATCATTATCAATACCACCACTATAATCATCAAAACCATAACAGTAATCGTCACCACCATCATCAAGACCGCCACTATCATCCACACCAGTAAAATCAACCGCCAGCACAATAACCACAGCCGTCATCATCATCACCACCATCGACAACATCAACATCATCACCACCATCGACAACAACATCAACATCATCAACGCCACGACAACAACAACATCATCAACGCCACGACAACAACATCATCAACATCAACGCCACGACAATAACAACAACATCATCAACATCAACGCCACGACAACAACAACAACATGAACATCATCACCACCATCGACAACAACATCATCAACATCAACGCCACGACAATAACAACAACATCATCAACATCAACGCCACGACAACAACAACAACATGAACATCATCACCACCATCGACAACAACAACAACATCATCAACGCCACGACAACAACAACAACATCATCGACATCAACGCCACGACAACAACAACAACATGAACATCATCACCACCATCGACAACAACATCATCAACGCCACGACAACAACAACAACATCATCAACGCCACGACAACAACAACAACATCATCGACATCAACGCCACGACAACAACAACAACATGAACATCATCACCACCATCGACAACAACATCATCAACGCCACGACAACAACAACAACATCATCAACGCCACGACAACAACATCATCAACGCCACGACAACAACAACATCATCAACGCCACGACAACAACAACATCATCACCACAATCGACAACAACATCATCAACGCCACGACAACAACAACAACATGAACATCATCACCACAATCGACAACAACATCATCAACGCCACGACAACAACAACAACATGAACATCATCACCACAATCGACAACAACATCATCAACGCCACGACAACAACAATATCATCAACGCCACGACAACAACAACAACAACAACCTCCAGTCGCGCGGCACAGCCAACGTGACGGGCACGGTGGCCGCGGCAGCGTCTGGGTGGTGCCCGGCGCTGAACCGTCCGGTCGGGCGGTCGCCGTCCGGCTCCCCCCTGAGAGAGACCGGCGTCGCCATCCCGGTCACGGCGTTTTTAACCCCTCCCCCCCCGCTGTTATATTTGGCATCGATGGCGCCCTCCTCCGTCGATGCTACTACTACTATTATTACTATTCTTGTTGTTGTCGTCATTGTCGATCGCCCCCGCCGCCCCCTCCTCCACCCGCCCTGGCAGCTGCTTTTGGCAATATCGCATTTCCCCTTTAAATAAATAAATATTGGTGAACGCACCGGGCTAAAATCCTCTTCGGGCCGACGAAAAGCCCCAATTTGCCTCTCAGATGTTGTTGGGTTGCCTGCACTCGTGTTTATTTTTATTTTATTTTTTTACCCTTATTTTTGGCAGGTTCGCCTGCAAACAGATGGCATTAGTCACGAGTTCCTGTACGCGTCAAATGCCTCTCGGTGAACGCGGCGACGCGGTGTGTACGCGCGACGTGTACGTGCGTTGGCACGCGTACTCGCGATGCGACGTGTACATGCGGAGCAAGCAACCCCACGTGAATTGTGCCTCTCCTGCGTGCATCCCTGAGCCACTCGTGGTAGCTGCACATTCCCGATGGCGGGAGCGGGTCGACGCACGGGGGGGGTGGGAAATCCACTCTTGATCTTCCCCACAAAAGCCGTGCTCGTTTTATCGACCCCGGCAGAGAGGGATGATTGGCTTTACCCCCCCCCGCCCCCCCGCCCCCGCTCGCTCTACCGCTAATGCATCGGGCCAGCGCGTGCGTATCTCTCATTAGCTATCGTACAGAAGATTTATCATTCATGATTTGCGTGCGGCCCTTTGTCAATCCAGTGCTGGATGAAGGCCTCCTCACCGTGCCGGAGCGCGAATGCATTCCTGGTTTTGCTGGCTCGTCTGGAATCGGCAAGCGGCTGATGGCCACGGTCATGGCAAATGGGGATACTGGACGTGGCGTGCCGAGTATACCCCGGGTAGCTCATGCGGCCTTTCGCTCACCATTGCCTACGACCGAATTTTGCCGGAATGCACGCACCAATCGCAGAGGCTAAGCGGGGAAAACAAACCGTGAGCCTGCACAGCGCTTCGATGGGTGACCACCATCATGTACAGTGAGGGAAAAAAGTATTTGATCCCCTGCTGATTTTGTACGTTTGCCCACTGACAAAGAAATGATCATTCTATAATTTTAATGGTAGGTTTATTTGAACAGTGGGAGACAGAATAACAACAACAAAATCCAGAAAAACGCACGTCAAAAATGTTATAAATTGATTTGCATTTTAATGAGGGAAATAAGTATTTGACCCCTTCTTAATCAGAAAGATTTCTGGCTCCCAGGTGTCTTTTTTACAGGTAACGAGCTGAGATTAGGAGCACACTCTTAAAGGGAGTGCTCCTAATCTCAGCTTGTTACCTGTATAAAAGACACCTGTCCACAGAAGCAATCAATCAATCAGATTCTAAACTCTCCACCATGGCCAAGACCAAAGAGCTCTCCAAGGATGTCAGGGACAAGATTGTAGACCTACACAAGGCTGGAATGGGCTACAAGACCATTGCCGAGCAGCTTGGTGAGAAGGTGATAACAGTTGGTGTGATTATTCGCAAATGGAAGAAACACAACAGAACTGTCAATCTCCCTCGGCCTGGGGCTCCATGCCTGGGAATTGAACTTGGAATGGTGAGGAATCAGCCCAGAACTACACGGGAGGATCTTGTCAATGATCTTAAGGCAGCTGGGACCATAGTCACCAATAAAACAATTGTTAACACACTACGCCGTGAAGGACTGAAATCCTGCAGCGCCCGCAAGGTCCCCCTGCTCAAGAAAGCACATATACATGCCCGTCTGAAGTTTGCCAATGAACATCTGAATGATTCAGAGGACAACTGGGTGAAAGTGTTGTGGTCAGATGAGACCAAAATGGAGCTCTTTGGCATCAACTCAACTCGCCGTGTTTGGAGGAGGAGGAATGCTGCCTATGACCCCAAGAACACCATCCCCACCGTCAAACATGGAGGTGGAAACATGCTTTGGGGTGTTTTTGTGCTAAGGGGACAGGACAACTTCACCGCATCAAAGGGACGATGGACGGGGCCATGTACCGTCAAATCTTGGGTGAGAACCTCCTTCCCTCAGCCAGGGCATTGAAAATGGGTCGTGGATGGGTATTCCAGCATGACAATGACCCAAAACACACGGCCAAGGCAACAAAGGAGTGGCTCAAGAAGAAGCACATTAAGGTCCTGGAGTGGCCTAGCCAGTCTCCAGACCTTAATCCCATAGAAAATCTGTGGAGGGAGCTGAAGGTTCGAGTTGCCAAACGTCAGCCTCGAAACCTTAATGACTTGGAGAAGATCTGCAAAGAGGAGTGGGACAAAATCCCTCCTGAGATGTGTGCAAACCTGGTGGCCAATTACAAGAAACGTCTGACCTCTGTGATTGCCAACAAGGGTTTTGCCACCAAGTACTAAGTCATGTTTTGCAGAGGGGTCAAATACTTATTTCCCTCATTAAAATGCAAATCAATTTATAACATTTTTTTCTGGATTTTTTTGTTAATTCTGTCTCTCACTGTTCAAATAAACCTACCATTAAAATTATAGACTGATAATTTCTATGTCAGTGGGCAAACGTACAAAATCAGCAGGGGATCAAATACTTTTTTTCCCTCACTGTGCATAACAGGTGGTATAGGCTGCGGTGGGGACAGCAGAGGGCAATGCGGCCTAGATCCATTGTTGTGTTGCACTCTAATTACAACTTTTAAACTATTGTTTTTATTTTACCAGGTACGGCCCGTCATGCTGTGTACAGCTCTTTGCCAGAAGCGACCTGGCCACAAATGATAGCCCAATTAAGTGGCTTTTCAGGTGGACATTTATCGCAGACAAATACTCGCAAACGCACGTGGCAGGGACGGTGCTCACCCAGCAGTGGATTGGCCAACCGGTGCTCGTGTGTGATGTGTGTGTGATGTGTGTGTGTGATGTGTGTGTGTGATGTGTGTGATGTGTGTGTGTGTGATGTGTGTGTGTGTGATGTGTGTGTGTGTGATGTGTGTGTGTGATGTGTGTGTGATGTGTGTGTGATGTGTACTCCCCATTGCCGCGATTCACTCGTCACCCGCCCGTTAAAAAGCTCTGCTCGATTTCGGGAGTGCCCTGACACCAACGGGACTGCTTGGCGTTCTAATAAATATGAGTCTCTGGCAGTCCACTGCTAATGCGTGAAGATAGTTTAGTACGGGTGGCGGGGGGGGAGCCTCTTTATTTACCCGGGAAAGCCTCGCTTAGTCGACAGATTCCTGTCCCAGAGGGGTGCTACCTTCGGCATGTGCTGTATTGTTGAGTTAATCCGCAGAATCTGTAGTCGTGTGCGTGTGTGACGGAGGGTCGAGCAGTCGGGCGGAATCGCTCGGTGGCGTGAAGTTAACGATCGATAGTTGTGAATTCAAAGACTGTTGCGGTGGGTATCTTTAGACGCTCCCGTGGTGTTGACCGTGGCGGAGTGAAGCTATAGAATGTCACGTCACTCAGCCAGCCAGCACCTCGCCCAGCTCGCCAGCACGTCAGCCAGCCTAGCGTCTGATCAGCCAGTCTGCCCATAAACCGCTCGGCCAGCCACCATCTAGCTAAGCCGCTCTGCCCGTCAGCCAGCTGCAGAGCAAATGCGTAATCTAGGCCGTCGGCCAGTCAGCCACTCTGTGAGGCACTCAGTCAACTAACCGGTCAATCACCCACACCCAGCCAGGCAGCCCATCAGCCATCAGGCCAGTTAACCAGCCAGCATGCCAGACAGCCAGCCTGCCTGTCTATCAGCCACTCAGGCAGCCAGCCAGCACATCAGCCATCAAGCCAGATAACTGGCAAGGATGCCAGCCAGCCAGCCCGTAAGGCACACAGACAGCCAGGCAGCCCATCAGCCATCAAACCGGATACCCAGCCAACATGCCAGACAGCCAGGCAGCCTACCTATCAACCACTCAGCCAGCCCATGAACCATTCAGCCAGCCAACCCATGAACCACTCAGCCAGCCCATGAACCACTCAGCCAGCCTGCCTATCAACCACTCAGCCAGCCCATGAACCACTGAGCCAGCCAACCCATGAACCACTCAGCCAGCCAGCCCATGAACCACTCAGCCAGCCCATGAACCACTCAGCCAGCCAGCCCAAGAACCACTCAGCCAGCCCATGAACCACTCAGCCAGCCAGCCCATGAATCACTCAGCCAGCCAGCCCATGAACCACTCAGCCAGCCAGCCCATGAACCACTCAGCCAGCCCATGAACCACTCAGCCAGCCCATGAACCACTCAGCCAGCCAGCCCATGAACCACTCAGCCAGCCAGCCCATGAACCTCTCAGCCAGCCCATGTACCACTCAGCCAGCCAGCCCATGAACCACTCAGCCAGCCAGCCTGCATAAGCCCTTCCCCCTCCTTCCCCACCACAACGCCCAACCCCTCCAGAAACTCCACCCGTGGCGAGGAAGTTGCGGCACGTGTAATTTTAGTCCTCCTCGCTTGCGCTCGCCAGCATTATGTATTTGTGCGAGAGAGGAGAGAGAGGGGGAGAGAGGGGGCGGGAGATAGAGAGAGGGGGGTGGCCACTCGGAGACACAGAGAGCGGGCGCGGGGGGGAGAGTGATAGAGAGAGAGGTAGAGAGAGAGGCAGAGAGAGAGGGGCCCACTGGGAGACCCAGAGAGATAGAGAGCGGGAGAGAGAGAGAGAGGCAGGGTGAGGGGGGCCCACTCGCAGACAGAGAGCGGGGGAGAGAGAGAGGCAGAGAGAGGGCCCACTGGGAGACCCAGGGAGAGGCAGGGTGAGGGGGGCCCACTCGCAGACAGAGAGCGGGGGAGAGAGAGAGGCAGAGAGAGGGGGGCCCACTGAGAGACCCAGAGAGAGATAGAGAGCGGGGGAGAGAGAGGCAGGGTGAGGGGGGCCCACTGGGAGACCCAGAGAGAGATAGAGAGCGGGGGAGAGAGAGAGAGGCAGGGAGAGAGGGGCCCACTGGGAGACCCAGAGAGAGAGAGAGAGAGCGGGAGAGAGAGAGAGGCAGGGTGAGGGGGGCCCACTGGGAGACCCAGAGAGAGATAGAGAGCGGGGGAGAGAGAGAGAGGCAGGGAGAGAGGGGCCCACTGAGAGACCCAGAGAGAGATAGAGAGTGGGAGAGAGAGAGAGAGAGGCAGGGAGAGAGGGGCCCACTGGGAGACCCAGAGAGAGATAGAGAGCCGGAGAGAGAGAGAGCCAGGGTGAGGGGGGCCCACTGGGAGACCCAGAGAGAGAGAGAGCGGGAGAGAGAGAGAGAGAGGCAGAGAGAGGGGGGCCCACTGAGAGACCCAGAGAGAGATAGAGAGTGGGAGAGAGAGAGAGAGAGGCAGGGAGAGAGGGGCCCACTGGGAGACCCAGAGAGAGAGAGAGCGGGAGAGAGAGAGGCAGGGAGAGAGGGGCCCACTCGCAGACAGAGAAATCGAGATCCGAGCGCCGTGAGTCACACTGTACCGCCGTAATCTTACGGTGACGCACGGCGGGATCGCTTCTGACTCACAGGACGTGATGCGTCGGGCAACGATCGTACTAAGAATGTAGCGGCAGAAAAATAACTCCGCGGTTTGGTAAATGGGCGATAACAGTCACACTAATAATGATTATCACCTTAATAATAAACTGCTTAGAACCCCCCCCCCCCCAAAACCCCTCGCTGTATTTAAAACTTTGTCGGAAATGTTTTAAAGTGAGTTTGGTGGGTGGGTGGGTGATGGTGGTGGTGGTTGAGTGCGGGGAAAGTTGTGTGTGTATTAATACGCGGCTGTGTTGGTGTGTGCCAGCGTGCGTGAGTGATGATAAGTCCACAGCTGTTAAGCGCGGTGTTTAATATTTCAATGTGTGTACTTTTTTATATCACGGTTGCTGAGCACAGCCCCAAAAGCGTGAAGCGGCCAGCCGGCAACAAGCGGCACGATTAAAGGTGTGTAATTGACGAGAGTTGACGCGTTTCTCGAATCGAGAAACGCGTCGATGGGAGGGAAGTTCAAAGCGGAGCTGTGCGAGGGATGGTGCAGAATGCAAAGTGTTGTGACTTGCAGTGTGGTCAGCGAGTGGGTGGGGGTGGGTAGGTGAGTGGGTGGTTGAGTGAGTGAGTGGGTGAGTGGGTGGATGAGTGAGCGAGCGGGTGGATGAGTGAGCGAGCGGGTGGATGAGTGAGCGAGCGGGTGGGTGGGTGGGCGGTTGAGTGAGTGAGTTGGGTGAGCGGGTGGGTGAGCGAGCGAGCGGGTGGGTGAGCGAGCGGGTGAGCAGGGCAGGTGAGTGAGTGAGTTGTTGTGACCTTCAGTGTGGTGAGTGGGTAGGTGAGTTGTTTGAGTGTTGTGACCTGCAGTGTGGTGAGTTGGCGGATGAGTGAGTGGGTGAGTTAGTGTTGTGACCTGCAGTTTGGTTAGTGGGTAGGTGGGTTAATGTGTGTGTGTGAATGGATGGGTGAGTGAGTGAGTTTGATTGTGTTGTGTCCTTCAGTGAGTGGTTGGGTAAGTGAGTGGGTGAGTGAGTGAGTGTGATTGTGTTGTGACCTGCAGTGTGGTTAGTGGGTAGGTGGGTTAATGTGTGTGTGAATGTATAAGTGAGTGTGATTGTGTTGTTTCCTTTAGTGTGTGGTGAGTGGTTGGGTAAGTGAGTGGGTGAGTGAGTGAGTGTGATTGTGTTGTGACCTGCAGTGTGGTTAGTGGGTAGGTGGGTTAATGTGTGTGTGTGAATGTATAAGTGAGTGTGATTGTGTTGTGTCCTTCAGTGTGTGGTGAGTGGCTGGGTGATTGTGTTGTGACCTGCAGTGTCGTGGTGACCGGTGGTGTAGTAGTGGTTAGCGCTGCGCTACGCGACGACCTCGGCAACCCGAGTTCGATTCCCGCTCACGGCCAACACCGGTGACGATTATCTTAACCGGTCCTGGGCCTCCCCTAGGTCGACTCAGCCCCAAATGAATACCCGGTGCGGTGCGTAAACATCGCCACGAGGTGCTCGCCACCCACCCCCTCATGCGCCTTGCCGGCCTTCATAAGTGCTCGCCAACAGCACTTGCCCCAACAGTCTGTTACAGGCTATACGGGGGAACTTTGTCTTTTTTGTGGTGTTGGTTGGAGGGGAATCAATGAAGTTCACGGGAACGGCAACCACGGTAGCAGCAGCAGCGATGGGAGCGTTTGCGTTGCCCGTGAGCGTTTCACTCCACGCTTACTGCGAGGCCTTGCCTGGGAGGAGGAGGAGGAGAGCATGACTTATCAGTTGCGGGTAGAGTCGTCACGAGTACAGACACTTTTTTTAATCATTCCACTGCTGGATGAGAACTCTCCACACCACGCCTTGCAGTGCCCCGTGAGGGATGTTTGACCATACTTCACCACGCTGGTTAGCACGCGTGTTGATGGAGGTTGGGGGGCGCGGACCGTGCAGAAACAACAATGGATTTTTGCCCCACGGAATCCTATAAACACCTGTTATGCACATGCTGGATCACCGATCCAAGCACTATCCAGGCTCCAGCCTGCTTCGCCTCTGCGATTGTTACGTCAGTTGCGGCCTACACAGGGGACATTTGTCTTTGTTGCATGCACCTCACTGTGTGCATTAGTGGCTGCGTACGTTCCGTGTGTATGTACGCGCATGTGTACATATGTTGCCCAGCAGGGGTGCCGCAGGTGTTGAGATGTTAACTACCTCGCCCGGTGTACAGGAGCGCCTGGGTTCGATGCAGACCCAGACGCCTTGAAGCCTGGAGTTTGGATATTCTCGCCGTGGCTGCCACGTGCATTTTTTCCCCCCGGGCTCCTCTGGTTTTTTTCCCCTCCGCATTTCGAAACGTCGCCACGCGTTGCAAAGACTATTCTAGATTTGAAGCTTTCGTGACTGCAAGGAATCCATACTCTCTGGTTCTATTCGGTAAAGTCACGTAGATGGAAAATAAAACAACAACCTACGTGACTTTACCGAACCGAACCCCAAAAGAGTGTTGCAAAGACTATTTGTCCGCCGCTATAAATTTTGCGCGCGACGATAAGCCACCTCGTTTGGGCCATCACTTGCGGCAAGGTCCGCTTCGGAGCTACGCGGCAGCTCGGCGGCGGTGGGCCCTTGGCAGCTTGCGAATGGTTTAGTTTGGCCTGCACGGCGCGGTCACCCACCCACGCCGTTTGGCGTCTGACGGTGATCAGGACCGGTTCTTGCATCGTCGTTGGTGTCATTGCGGGGTTGCTTCAGGGGAAGGAGCGGGGGTGGAGGGGGGGGGAGCGTTGATGCGGAAGTACATTGCGACGGACCGTTTTTTTTGTAATATTCTTAGCTCTTTCGGTAAAGTCGCGTTGAAGGGAAACAATAAAGTAATAAAATATATATATGAAACGATACGAAATTCTCGCGACGTTTCGACCATAACGCAAACGTGACTTTACCGAAAGAGCTAAGAATGTGAATTACTGCAGTCACGAAAGCTTGAAATCAAAACATTTTGTTGTTGTTGATGTTGTTCTTTCTCCGCGTGGTGCCCTGTCCTGCACCGTGTGCCGTCCGTAGCCCTCGGGGGGAAATGTACAAAACGAAAATGACGGGCGAATGGTGAAATCTTTTTTTGTTGTTTTGGAAACTGCCGCTTTGCGTCGTCAGCACGGCGTCCGATCGGTTCATTGCGTATGTGTGGTAACAAGAATAATAATACTAATGATAATAACAACAACAGTCACACTTGTTTTCGTGTTTACAATGTGCCCGTTTTTTGCACGAAAAGGCCGAGAGACAAATTTGCGGTTCGCGACTTGAGGCGCTCCGGTGGAGTCCTCCTCCGAACCCCTCGCGAAACAGACGGGCGGCCTTCACCCGTCAGTCAGTCAGGCGACGGCAGTAGCGCTGGATTTGACGTCGCTGCCGCTGCTGCTGCTGCTGCTGTTGTGCCTGCTGCTGCTGCTGCTCCCGCTGCTGTACCTGTTGCTGCTCCTGCGGTACCTACTGCACCTGCTGATGCTCCTGCTGCTGCTGCTGTACCTGTTGCTGCTCCTGCGGTACCTACTGCACCTGCTCCTGCTGCTGCTGTACCTGTTGCTGCTCCTGCGGTACCTACTGCACCTGCTGCTGCTGTACCTGTTGCTGCTCCTGCGGTACCTACTGCACCTGCTGCTGCTCCTGCTGTTGCTGCTGTACCTGTTGCTGCTCCTGCGGTACCTACTGCACCTGCTGCTGCTCCTGCTGCTGCTGTACCTGTTGCTGCTCCTGCGGTACCTACTGCACCTGCTGCTGCTGCTGCTCCTGCTGCTGCTGTACCTGTTGCTGCTCCTGCGGTACCTACTGCACCTGCTGCTGCTGCTGCTCCTGCTGCTGCTGTACCTGTTGCTGCTCCTGCGGTACCTACTGCACCTGCTGCTGCTGTACCTGTTGCTGCTCCTGCGGTACCTACTGCACCTGCTGCTGCTCCTGCTGCTGCTGTACCTGTTGCTGCTCCTGCGGTACCTACTGCACCTGCTGCTGCTGCTGCTCCTGCTGCTGCTGTACCTGTTGCTGCTCCTGCGGTACCTACTGCACCTGCTGCTGCACGTGCTGCTGCTGCTGCTCCTGCTGCTATTGTTGACCCGACTGTTGCTGCTTTCTGCTGCACCTGCTACTGCTGCTGTTGCTCCTACTGTTGCTGCTTCTGCTGCACCTGCTGCTGCTGCTCCTGCTGCTGTACCTGTTGCTGCTCCTGCGGTACCTACTGCACCTGCTGCTGCACATGCTGCACATGCTGCTGCTCCTGCTGCTGGTGTTGCCCCGACTGTTGCTGCTCATACTATTGCTGCTAAAGCGGCTCATGCTGCTGCACATGCTGCTGTACCTGTTTTAGTCCTGCTGCTCCCGGCTGCTGCACCTGTTGCTGCTCCTCCTGCGGGTTACGGCTGCACCTGCTGCTGCTGCTGCTGCTCCTGCTTCTGCAGCTACCGCTGCTGCTACGCACGCGTGGGAGAGGGATGCGATTCGGCTACGTTCGGAGCAACCACAGTGTGTGTTGATTTGGTTGAGGGGGGGGGCCCGTTGTTTGATGGAGTACGGCACGGGTAGCGATGCGGGAGGGCCCGCTGCTGCTGCTGCTGCTGAGCGACTGACAAAGGAAGTGTGTCTTTAGCGGTGAGGCTCGAACAAAGAGACATGATGACCTTATTTGTATAGGCAGGTGGGAGCGAGCACGCTTGAGACGGAGAGGTCACTGTTTACCTTCATTCATTAAGACGTTTAACCTCGAAAATCCCTCCAGATGGAACGGTCCCAGTTTTGCAACGGGGTGTTTGTGGACAGATGGTATGGGGAGGCCTGCTATCTATTGGCACCTCCGATTAGGCATGGTTGGCTACACACGGTGTGAAAGAAGTTCGACATACATACATGCAGAGGTGCATAAACACGCGAAGACCCATAGAGACTCACAGAGACACCCATAGGTACCCACAGAGACCCACAGATTAGCACGGTTGGCTTACGTACATTGCGAAAGAAGTTCAACATACATACACAGAGACGCATAGACATGCAGGCCCATAGAGACCCACAGAGACACCCATAGATACCCACAGAGACCCACAGATTAGCACGGTTGGCTTACGTACGTTGCGAAAGAAGTTACACATACATCAACAACAACCGGCATTCGCCACTAAGTGGCGGTGACGTTACCACGACGCTTGTGCCAGGCTATGTGCACCCTGAGGCCACACATACATACACAGAGACGCACAGACATGCAGGCCAATAGAGACCCACAGAGACACCCATAGATACCCACAGGGACCCACAGATTAGCACGGTTGGCTTACGTACATTGCGAAAGAAATTCAACATACGTACAGAGTAAGTAATGCGATCTGTGATGGAGGCCCACGTGGCGTTGGAAGAGGGTGGTGGTGGTGGCTGTGGTTGCTGATGGTTGCTGGAGGAGGGTGGTGGTGGTGGCCGTGGTTCTGAAGAATTGAGTTTTCAATTTAGATTTAAAAGTGCACAGCTTCAATGGCTTCCTAATAAAGAGACTAAGGGTTTTAGTGCGGCGGATGCATGTACGTCTGAGTGTGTGGGTCTCTGTGTGAGTCTGTGGGTCTCTGTGTGAGTCTGTGGGTCTCTGTGTGAGTCTGTGGGTCTCTGTGTGAGTCTGTGGGTCTCTGTGTGAGTCTGTGGGTCTCTGTGTGAGTCTGTGGGTCTCTGTGTGAGTCTGTGGGTCTCTGTGTGAGTCTGTGGGTCTCTGTGTGAGTCTGTGGGTCTCTGTGTGAGTCTGTGGGTCTCTGTGTGAGTCTGTGGGTCTCTGTGTGAGTCTGTGGGTCTCTGTGTGAGTCTGTGGGTCTCTGTGTGAGTCTGTGGGTCTCTGTGTGAGTCTGTGGGTCTCTGTGTGAGTCTGTGGGTCTCTGTGTGAGTCTGTGGGTCTCTGTGTGAGTCTGTGGGTCTCTGTGTGAGTCTGTGGGTCTCTGTGTGAGTCTGTGGGTCTCTGTGTGAGTCTGTGGGTCTCTGTGTGAGTCTGTGGGTCTCTGTGTGAGTCTGTGGGTCTCTGTGTGAGTCTGTGGGTCTCTGTGTGAGTCTATGGGTCTCTGTGTGAGTCTGTGGGTCTCTGTGTGAGTCTGTGGGTCTCTGTGTGAGTCTGTGGGTCTCTGTGTGAGTCTGTGGGTCTCTGTGTGAGTCTGTGGGTCTCTGTGTGAGTCTGTGGGTCTCTGTGTGAGTCTGTGGGTCTCTGTGTGAGTCTGTGGGTCTCTGTGTGAGTCTGTGGGTCTCTGTGTGAGTCTGTGGGTCTCTGTGTGAGTCTGTGGGTCTCTGTGTGAGTCTGTGGGTCTCTGTGTGAGTCTGTGGGTCTCTGTGTGAGTCTGTGTGAGTCTGTAGGTCTCTGTGTGAGTCTGTGGGTCTCTGTGTGAGTCTGTGGGTCTCTGTGTGAGTCTGTGGGTCAGTGTGTGAGTCTGTGGGTCTCTGTGTGAGTCTGTGTGAGTCTGTAGGTCTCTGTGTGAGTCTGTGGGTCTCTGTGTGAGTCTGTGGGTCTCTGTGTGAGTCTGTGGGTCTCTGTGTGAGTCTGTGGGTCTCTGTGTGAGTCTGTGAGTCTCTGTGTGAGTCTGTGGGTCTCTGTGTGAGTCTGTGGGTCTCTGTGTGAGTCTGTGGGTCTCTGTGTGAGTCTGTGGGTCTCTGTGTGAGTCTGTGGGTCTCTGTGTGAGTCTGTGGGTCTCTGTGTGAGTCTATGGGTCTCTGTGTGAGTCTATGGGTCTCTGTGTGAGTCTGTGGGTCTCTGTGTGAGTCTGTGGGTCTCTGTGTGAGTCTGTGTGAGTCTGTAGGTCTCTGTGTGAGTCTGTGGGTCTCTGTGTGAGTCTGTGGGTCTCTGTGTGAGTCTGTGGGTCTCAGAGTCTATCTGTGTGTATGCATGTCGAACTTCTTTCGCACCGTGCGTAGCCAACCGTGCTGATCGGAGGTGCTTGTGACGTGCAATATACTACAGATATGTAATTGTACGCGCTCTGCGTTTGGTAATCGTGACGGTATGTGTGGCGGCGCGGTGGTCACCGAACTTTTGCCGTGAACTCGGCGAGCTGAGCTCTGGCGATTTCCGACCGCGGCTGACGTTGGTGGCCGGTGATCGAAATCCGAAGCGGCGTTCTGTGGAGGGGGGGGAAGCCTCCGTCCAGCGCGGTTGCGTACACTTCATGCTATCGTGCAGTTTGTGGCGCTCCCGCGTGTCGTTAACGGGCGATCGCTCGCCACGAGCGATCGCCCGTTTCGTTTTCGCGCCGTCGGGAGCTTCTCCACGGCAACTCGAATCACAAGTTTGGGTCGTCATTTCATTTTAGCGCGTGGACGCCCCCCCCCCCCCCACGGGAAGTTAAGTTAAGCGCGGGGGGGTGGGGGGTTGGGTTGGGGGGGGGGTGGATATAAATAAATAACTAACGTCCTTCTGTTTTTCTGCGCCTCGCCGACTCCGGTAACGCACCCAGTGCATCGGAAGTGATGGAGCGCGGCGTCTAAAAATAAATATATTTATTTACCAAGACTGTGAATCACGATTAAAGCTGACGCCTGCACCGATGATTAACTGGGCGCGTCGCCCACACGTTTGCCTGTTCTGCATCCCCGTTCCTTTTTTCATTTCCAGTGGAAGTGGAGGATTCCTTGGTCGCCGCGACCACCCCCTCCCCCTCCTCCTCCTCCTCCTCCTCCCCTTCGGAGTGCGCCCGGCGGAGAGAATGAGCCATGAGGAGGGCGCCTTTGTGTGCAACGCGCCGGGCTGCGGGCAGGTAACGGCGAACGCGCATCACCAGCACCTCGATGCGTTCTTGACGTCGTATTTCATTTCCTCCCCCTCCCCCGCCTCTTCTTCGCCTCTTGAGTTGGGCCGCCGCGGTGGCTATGAGATGTTAACTCCCTCGCCTGGTACGCAGGAGGCCGTGGGTTCGCTCCCGACCCCTGACGCCTGCTGCTGCTGCTGCTGTATATTTGGGGTTTGCGTGTCTCTCTCATCATCATCACGGTGTCCAGATGTTAACTGCCTCGCCTGGTACGCAGGAGTTCGTGGGTTCGCTCCCGACCCCTGACACCTGCTGCTGTTATAAATGGGGTCTGCGTGTGTCTCTCTCCCTCTCTCTCCCCCCGTGGTTGCGTGGACTTTTCTCCGCTTCCTCAATTTTTCCCTCCACGTTTAGAATCGTCGGTTTGGGACACACCGACCTACAAACCCGGTGACCCCAGTTCGATTCCCGCTCAGGGCCGCCGAAGCCAGTGACGATTATTCGAACCGTTCCTGGGGTCTGCCCTAGGCCGACTTATCCTCAAATGAGTACTTGGCGTGGTGTGTAAAACATCGCCACTCGGGAGACAAAGGCGGCCGGGCGTGGTGCTGCTGCTGCTGCTGGCCACCCACCCCCCCTCGTGCGCCGTGCCGGCCTTCATAGGTGCTGCTCGCTAACAGCACTTGCCCCAAAAAGCCTGTTCAGGCTAGACGGGCGATCTTTGTCTTTTGTGCCACTTGCCGCAGAAAGGGTTTGCGCTTCGAGCCAGGGCCCTCCGTCCCGATCAATGCCGCGGGTGTCTTCACCGTGGAAATACCGCAGGGGGCTTTCTCTCAAATATTCCGTGATGATGTAACCTGAAAAGGAGGGCAGGCCAGGCCACACACGCCACTGCCGTACGTCCGAATCGCCCGCGAAATTTACCCGATTTTGGAGAAGCCACCGCGGCGATACAGTCGGTTCCCCTACTGTCACGCTATGAAACTACTCAAACTGAGCTCTTTTTTTTCTTTGACAAAGTACAAGGCCCAACTGAGCTGCTAATAAAGCTCTTTTTTTCAGAAGCGACCAGGCTATCACAAGTGATAGCTCTCTACCAAGCGGTGTGTCATCATCGCGTGGAAATTTCTAGCAGCGGCCAAAAATACCCTAAATGCGTGTTTCTAAATGTGGAGGTGAAAAGGCTGGAGGAGCCGGAGAAAAATCCACGCGGCCAAGGGGAGAGAGACACGCAAACTCCCAAATGTACAGGCGTCGGCGTCCAGGGGTCGAACTCACGACATCCTGTATACCAGGCGAGGTAGTTAACATTTCACCACCGTACACGTCTGTGAAACACCGCACCATTTTGAGCGGGAACTTAGCGGTTAGCGCGCTGCGCTACAAACCCGGCCACCCGAGTTTGATTCCCGCTCACGGCAAACACCGGTGACGATTATCTGAATCTGTCCTGGGCCTCCCCTAGGTCTACTCAGCCTCAAATGAGTACCTGGTGCGGTGTGTAAACATCGCCACTGGGGAGACGAAGGCGGCCGGACGTGGTGTTGGCCACCCACCGCCTCGTGTAGCGTGCCGGCCTTCATAGGTGCTGCTCGCTAACAGCACTTGCCCCTACAGTCTGTTAAGGCTATACGGGGGAACTTTGTCTTCTTGATAGCCCTTGGGGCTCTAAAAAGAATGGCGAGGACACCTCAACGTAAATTATTGAAGGCGCTGGGCTTGGACCGAGGAACCCTCTGCAACACGAGGCAAACGCCACCGCTGCTGCACTGTCGACATTCGGCGATTTACTGCCGTGAGATAGTGCGAGATGGGGAGAGAGAGACGGGGTGAGAGAGACGGGGTGAGAGAGACGGGGTGAGGGAGACGGGGTGAGGGAGACGGGGTGAGGGAGACGGGGTGAGGGAGACGGGGTGAGAGAGACGGGGTGAGAGAGACGGGGTGAGAGAGACAGGGTGAGGGAGACGGGGTGGGAGAGACGGAGTGGGAGAGATGGGGTGAGAGAGACGGGGTGAGAGAGACGGGATGAGGGAGACGGGGTGAGAGAGACGGGGTGAGGGAGACGGGGTGAGAGAGACGGGGTGAGGGAGACGTGGTGGGATAGACGGGGTGAGAGAGACGGGGTGAGGGAGACGGGGTGAGAGAGACGGGGTGAGAGAGACGGGGTGAGAGAGACGGGGTGAGAGAGACGGGGAGAGAGAGACGGGGTGAGGGAGACGGGGTGAGAGAGACGGGGTGAGAGAGACGGGGTGAGAGTCACGGGGTGAGAGAGACGTGGTGATGGAGACGGGGTGAGAGAGACGGGGTGAGAGAGACAGGGTGAGAGAGACGGGGTGAGAGAGACGGGGTGAGAGAGACGGGGTGAGAGAGACGGGGTGAGAGAGACGGGGTGAGAGAGACGGGGTGAGAGAGACGGGGTGAGAGAGACAGGGTGAGGGAGACGGGGTGGGAGAGACGGAGTGGGAGAGATGGGGTGAGAGAGACGGGGTGAGAGAGACGGGATGAGGGAGACGGGGTGAGAGAGACGGGGTGAGAGAGACGGGGTGGGAGAGACGGGGTGAGAGAGACGGGGTGGGAGAGACGGGGTGAGGGAGATGGGGTGAGAGAGACGGGGTGAGGGAGACGGGGTGGGAGAGACGGGGTGAGGGAGACGGGGTGAGGGAGACGGGGTGGGAGAGACGGAGTGGGAGAGACGGAGACGGAGACTTTTTGACTTTTTAAACAACTTTCATTGCCGCCAGCAGCAGAAGCACTGGAGGCGATTTCGATATGAAACACACAAAATCACCAGCAACACAAATAAAACAAACGCTACAAATCCACGCGCCGTGGCGCTAAAAAGCACCGCGCACAACACAAAAGAAAAGTCACGTGGTGGTGGTGGTCATCGCGCACGTCACGGTGACGAGCGAGCGCTTCAGAAGGTGAACACGTGGGGGGTGCCGTCCACGCTGGTACAGAGGAGAGAGAGATAGAGCGCAAGATAGAGACATGGACAGAGAACCACGAACGGCACAACTGGGATGTTTCCTCCCTAATCCAGCAGGCTGCTGTATCGTGACCATCAGGTCGAATGTGTGTGGGGTGTGTGGGGTGTGTGGGGGGTGGGGGGTGCGTGTGGTGCGTGGGGGGGGTTGGGTGGGTGTGGTGTGTGTGGTGTGTGTGGTGTGTGGGGTGTGTGTGGTGTGTGTGGTGAGTGGTGAGTGTGGTGAGTGTGGTGAGTGTGGTGTGTGGGGTGTGTGTGTGGTGTGTGTGGTGTGTGTGGTGTGTGTGGCGTGTGGGGCGTGTGGGGTGTGTGGGATGTGTGGGATGTGTGGTTCGCGCGCTGCGCTACACACCTGCCATCCTGAGTTCGATTCCCGCTCAAGGCCAACACCAGTGACTATCTGAACCGGTCGTGGGCCTTTCCTAGGTCGACTCAGCCTCCAGTGAGTACCTGGTGCGGTGTGTAGTAAACATCGCCACTGGGTAGACAAAGGCGGCCGGGCGTGGTGCTGGCCACCCACCCCCTCGTGTGCCGTGCCGGCCTTCATTGGTGCTCGCTAACAGCACTTGCCCCAACAGTCTGTTCAGGCTATACGGGGGATCTTTGTCTGTGTGAATTCTGCACCTCCCAGAGGGAGAGAGCTCTGATGTGAAGTCCGCTTGGCTCTCGCAGAAGTTGAAAGTCAAAGTGAATTCCTGCTCAGATGTGCTTCGGTCTAGGCGTCGCTGCCAACCGTGGTGGAAATTCCACATTCCTATGGCGGGGGTGGGAGGGAAGGTGGGCCGAGGGGAGGGGAAGGCGAGGGTGGGGGCGGCGAGGGTTGGGGGAGGGACTCTCTACTTAAATTAAAGACCTACTCACACGTTAATAAACTCGAGTCAAGAAATATACACGTTACTACACGCGTCACTACACGTGTCACTACACGTCACTACACGTCACTACACGTCACTACACGTCACTACACGCGTCACTACACACGTCACTACACGTCACTACACGCGTCACTATACGCGTCACTACACGCGTCACTACACGTCACTACACGTCACTACGCGTCACTACACGCGTCACTACACGCGTCACTACACGCGTCACTACACGCGTCACTACACGTCACTACACACGTCACTACACGTCACTACACGCGTCACTACACGCGTCACTACACACGTGAATCAACGTCAAACACACAGGCCTGCGGGTCTCCCTGGCTGGGAGGGAGAGGGATGGGAGGGGGATGGGAGGGAGGGGGATGGGAGGGAGGGAGGGAGGGGGATTGGAGGGAGGGAGACGGTAGGGAGGGTTGGGGTGACAGACTGACCTGGAAACCAACACAAACGCAGCGACGCTTCATCTTTGTTTATTTTCTTGCTCTATTTGGGTTCTTTTCCTCCGGGCATTGGAGGAGCAGTTGGGGGGGGGGGGGGCCGAGTTTATTCTAACTGTGAGCGTGCTGGGTGTGGAGAAGCCTTTTGGTGGCGTCTGGGTGGGAGGGGGGGGAGGTCGCCAGATGGATTCCGTTCGGAGCGCCTCCTGTCGAGAGCGTGCGTGGGGCGACGGCCGTGAGCGGCGATGCGGCTCGCTCTTCACCACGGTCGCGGATTCGCGCAGAGACGCGTGGACCGGCACAGAGACCCATAGACACGCACAGAGACCCGTAGACACGCACAGAGACCCATAGACACGCACAGAGACCCATAGACACGCACAGAGACCCATAGACACGCACAGAGACCCATAGACACGCACAGAGACCCATAGACACGCACAGAGACCCATAGACACGCACAGAGACCCGTAGACACGCACAGAGACCCATAGACACGCACAGAGACCCGTAGACACGCACAGAGACCCGTAGACCGGCACAGAAACCCATAGACACGCACAGAGACCCGTAGACCGGCACAGAGACCCATAGACACGCACAGAGACCCGTAGACCGGCACAGAGACACATAGACACGCACAGAGACCCATAGACACGCACAGAGACCCATAGACTCACACAGAGACCCGTG